GGCCATGTTGGTTTAACTTGTCACAGTATGTTCGGTATCAATTAAAAATACTGTAATGAATGTTTAATGACCATTTATTGAAGAAAATACATACACTAATAACAAATGACTAATAATTATTACTATTAGCTACTCAGTAGACAAGTTTACACTTGACTTAGGTACACAGCTAGTTAGAAGCATTGGAAAGAGTGAATTCTGACCTAAGTATAGAACTAAGAAGTATCTATGTCTGTGTTGTGAATAGGCTTTAAAATGCTATCTGAAAACTCTAGCAGAATTTGAAAGTTTGGGTGCTTGTACTGGTAGAAAAATAGTCTTTCTTGTTGTATAGCTTATGGATTGGAATGGAATTTGGGAAATACAGGGAATTTGGGATATTAATACAGGAGCCTGTTGACACTAGTAAGGTTTAAAAAGAAGAGTTAGCAACAATGAACAATACATAGGATAAATAGAAAAAAAATTATTAAAATAGTTTACTTGCTATCCAGAAGGGGAAGTTGATAAAAGGAAATGTTTAGGATTAGTTCTAACCTTCCTGATCAGAAAACGATGAGAGTTACTGTGTTATAAACTAAGACAGGAAATTATTAAAGAGGACTGTTTTTTATTTTTTATTTATAAAAGAAAAAAAAAGATTCAAAGAAAAACCACAACTCCAGAAGCAAATGAACAAAGTAAAGCCTCTAAATTATACATGTGTGTGTATTTTTTAAATGCCAGTATCATCAACTTTAAATTTATTAAAAATTTTATATAACATTTAAAATTTTCTTCTTCACAATTTATTCATTATATATCCAAACTGAAGCTTTCTCTCTCAACTCCCCCAGTCCCACCCTCTCTCCCTCTTTCCCTCATTCCCTTCCCCTAGTCCACAGAAAGGGGGAGTTCTTCACCATTGCCATCTGCCCATAGCTTGTTAAGTCTCATCAGGACTGCTTGGATCCTCTTCCTCTGTGGCCTGGCAAGGCTGCATCATCAGGGGTGAGTGATCAAAGACCAGTCAACTGAGTACATGACAGAGGTAGCCCCTGTCATTAAGAGATCCACATGGAGATTGAGCTGCCAACAAGCCTCATCTGAGCAGGGGGTCTATGTCCTCTCTGTGCATGGTCCTTCTTTGGTGCATCAGTCTCTGCAGGACCCACTGGGCTCAGCTCTTTTAGTTTTGTTGATCTCCTTGTGGGGCTCCTGTTCCCTCCAAGTCCCTCTAACCCTATCCTTCTCTTCCCCCATAAGACTCCCTGTGGTCTGCCCAAAGTTTGACCCTGAGTCTCAGCATCTGCTTTGATCCCCTTTTGGGTGAAGCCTTTCCGATGAGCGTCTTAGTAGACTCCCATTCTGTTTCCTCTCTTCCACTGCTTCTGGTGTCCATCCTGTTTGCCATTCTGAATGAGATTTAAGCATCCTCACTAGGGTCCCCTTTAGCATTTAGGTCTATAGATGGCTGTCCTGTATTAGACAGTTAATATCTGCTTATTAGTGAGTGTATACCGTGCCTGTCTTTCTGTTTCTGTGTTACCTCACTCAGGATGATCTCTTTTAGCTCCATCCATTTGCCTGAAATTTTCATGATTTCCTTGTTTTTAATAGCTTAGTATTCCATTGTGTAGATGTGCCACAATTTCTATACAACGTAGTGATCATATTTTGCCATCCCTCAACACAAAACACACAACAACAACAAAACAAGCAATCCTCCCTAAAACAAAGAAGGGGGAACTGAAGGAGTCTGGTAATTGGAATTCTGCCTCCTGGCCTTGGCAGATGCCTGTCTTATCTAAGTTCCATTTCTCAGAGACTGTCCTTGGCGATCTCTGCAAGTGGGATGTTCTGAGCCTGAGAAGGAGATAGCAAGCTTCCTGCAACCTTGGGAACCAGACAGCAAACTTTGTGTAACCTTGAGTGAATTCCTGGATGCTTTGCCAGGTGGCACAGATGTTTTGCTACTATGAAAAAAAAAATGTTTGTACCCTTTGCTTTATAAGTGTTGTTTCCACATTCAGTAAACTGAGACTTGATCAGGAAAACAACAACAACAACAACAAAAACGAACAAACAACAAAAAAACAAGCAATCAAGCAAACAAAAAGGACCCAACAACATGGAGTCAATTTTTGCATTGGCCAGCTACTCCTGGCCTCCTGAGCATAAAGTCTGTGTTGGAGCGTGGTTGATAAACTCACTGATTTTCCCTTTCTCAGTATGTATCAATTACAAGTTGATTCTTGGTTGGGGGTAGGACTTTGTGTCCCCTTCACTTTCTCTTAGGATTCTTCTGATTTGAACCTGTGCAGCTCTTGTGAGACCTGTCACAGTTTCTGAGAGCTCCTAGATATATCAGCACTGTGTTTTGAAAGAGAGAAAGTTTAGATACAGTCCTACTGAGTTGAATGTTAGACTTGACATCTCTTGGAGTTAGTTATCAGACAACTCTCTTCTTCAAAGAAGAGATAAAGACCAATTTTAGATTTCAGAGTTTAAAACAAGGAGTCTGTAGCATATTAAGAATATATAGTAAGTGAAATAAGAAGATTCAAGATTAGAATCCTAGGAAGCATCAGACTGTTGGGAAAGTCAGAAAATAAGTATCATTTAAAGAAATTGGAAAATAATAATCAAATAGAAGTATAGTAGATGTGAAAGAAAAGATAAAACGTAAATAGGGTACAAACCTTTAAGTGGTGTAGAGCTAGGCTAGGTAACGATTACCTTGAAGTGTAATGAAATAATATACATATGATACATTTCCTTATTGAGGAATTATAAAATACATCTCCTTTCAAAATATGTCAGTAATGATCAGTGATGATTGACTTTGGTCAATAAAAAGAATAATTGGAAGTGACATATATCACCTCTGGTAGAAGTTTTTAAAAATTAAACATACTTTTAATTTTTCATCCATGTACACTGTATTTAAATCATCTGCCCTTCTCCCTCTAACCTTTCCCATGTCCCCTCATCCCTACTCCCATTCAAATTCATAATCTTTTCCCTCAAGTAGAACTTTTGAGTCAGATCATAGTTTCATCGATTTGTCTTTATCTGTCACTATTGTGGTCCAAAATGCTGGAGAACGACTTCAGACAATGTGTAGTAGGTTATTGTCAACCATATACTGTGAGTTCATATACTGTGAGTCAAACGTTGTATGTATACTACACTAGCATTTGAGCCTGCTTATCTTACAGCTGGCAATCTAATCCATTATTACAGGTTTAGATAAGATGAAAAAATGAAACAGGAAGTTTTACAAAGTTCAACTACATATAGTCCTGACTTCATGATTTTTCTACTTTACAATGTTATGAAGCATTCTGATGAAATGCACTTGAAGTTTTAACCTTTTATTTCTTTGAAAACCAATATCAAGAATAAGATTTCCTCTGATCATGCTGGGCAGTGGTATTAACCTACCACTTTCAGACAGCCCAGTGGAAAATGTACACATTAGCATTCTACTGTGTCCTGTGAGGCTAAGCTTCCATGTTCAGTAGGCTAGTAGTGTTCTTTGTGATTAAATGGATTTATTGTGGTATAAATACATACTGAGTCAAGAAATAATCTGTATTTTAAGTAGTAAAAACAAAGTAGCCAAGTAATACCCAGAAATCAAGATATTTTTACTATTATTGTATTAGTCTACATTCAACCGGGATGTAAGCCCTCTTACATCCTTAGGGTATACAACATATAATGCAAGGAGATGATTCAGATGTTAGAATTGACTGAGTTGGTGATAGAAGAGCTTAAAATTACATCGGTATTAGGAAGACAACCTCGAGACTGACAAGAGGCAAAGCTACAGTCAGCCTTGCAGGAGGAAGAAAATACACATGGAATCAGATAATCAGAACCCAGAGAGACAGGAGTCTCCAAGTAAAATCTGGGTGCATTGCAGTACTAACTAATGGAACCTAGAGTCATGGATATAAGGCTCTCATTTCCAGAGACTTCCACCAAGAAGAAACAAAGAGTTCCACTCCAACATTACGTTCTTCTTTCGCAATTGCCTGGGCCTCCCAATGTCCCCTGACCTGAGAGCCAGAGAAACTCAATCTGGAAATCAACATGCTATTTACTCTCTTCCTGCAACAGAGACCAGAGTAGAGAAAGAACAAACAAATATGTTTGAAAATGAATAGTTCCAAGACTGTTAACAGGCCTGGATATGCAGAAAATAGTAACAGACACTGTCCACAGGAACAATCTTGATTTTTCATGAAAAAAATTTCTGTTAGCAGGAAAGGGGTTCATTTATATGTTGTATGTGGCTGGAACTGTAGTACACACATAAAATGACACATAAAATGAGATTTAAAATGTAAGCAACGGTGAGAAGCATAAAATCTATTCTGTTGGTGATCATAACATAAGCAAAAGTTGTGTCTTGAAAAGATAAATCCAATATTGTTGCGGATGCTAGATTTAGGAGAAGAAATAGATAATTTATAAGTGCTTTGCCTAAGCATTGTGTATTAAAAGCTTGATTTGAGAGATGGAACACTAATGCTATTTAATGTCTTTAATATAAATATGACTTAACAGAAATGGCTATATTGGGGCTGCAATGAGATTACCATGTTCTTTGTTTTGCTGAACATTACTTCAATTTTTTCATTTTTAAAATACGATTTTTTTTTATCAGAATAAGAAGATGAGGGATCTGGAAACACCAGTAGATAAAGAATAGTAGGGAATGGAGAAGTTTGATTTACAGGTAAGAGAAAGGAATGAGTATATCCTATTTCATATGCTAGACAAATTTTCCAACAATAGAGTCTCTAGAGACTGTGACCAAAGAGGAAAATGTCTAGTTATGTTCTAGAATGAACAGAGGATGAGCCACAGATCTTTTTATTGCTTTATTCATTCTTTCTAGACTCACTAGACTTTAGGAACATTCAGTCTTCAAATGGTAGAATGAGATTCTGCCAGCCAGGGTGGGCATATCCTCCTTTCCACTCCCACCTTAAGTGTTTATGCAGATTTTATACAAGGTGTGATAGGGCCTCCTGAAAAATAGGAGCACAAAGATAAATATGATAAGCCTTCTTATCTGTAAGTAGCATGTTTCAAAAATATATACTTTCACTCTTCTATTTGACAACATGTTGCTGATGTTGAAACAAAGACTCAGCGTCTTATCATGGATTCCAAAGCAGTAGAGCTTGGACTGTTCAAAAATGTTCTTTCTATAAATGCAGATGTTTTGATTTTTGGAGTCTCTGGGATATGCACATATCACGAGTACAATCAATGGAGAAGAAATAATACAGTTATAAGTGATGGGAGGGCATTTGCGTAGCAAAGGCTTCTCCTATGGAAACAAGACATCCCCCATCCAAAGTTCTAATTACCAGAAGCTTCTTCACAGCCTCTGAAGCCTCTGGCCCCAGCTCATCCACACACTTCTTCAGCCCTTCCACCAGATGTTCTACAGAAATGCCCAGGGTTTTCAGAAGCATCTTCAAAGGATCAAATAAGGGAAGAAGGTTGTCCACAGGCAACACTTTGTCAACAGGGAGACTGTTGATGAGAAAGGCAGTGGCTGCAGAGCAAAAGGGAACATAGAGTGAAACATGGTGCACCCATCCCTGTCTAAGACCCCATCACCTTCATCTCTGCCCGTCCGGCATGCACTACAATGCACATTTTCAACCTGCATGCACTCATTTTGATTCCCCATGCATATGTATGCCTTTCAGACATAGCATGGGACAGTCCATCTCCCTAGAACTTTATTTTTCCAGATAGTTATAGTGTTTTTTTTTTTTTTTATCCTGGTTGGCTTTCTTTTTAAATGTGATCCCCGAGAGAAGACTGTAGCAGCCAATCTATTTAAATGGCATAATCTGTTACTCTTTTCTCATATTTTTCTCCTGTTATCTACAATATTATGTATGTGTTATTTTACCAGCTTCATCCTTTCATTGGAATAGAAGCTCCATGAGAGTAAGTAGTTTATGTTTGTTGCTGCGCTACATGCTCGGAACTGACTGTAGCGTTTGGTAAGAGAAAGTACTGAAAACTCATTCAACAGATACTAGTGGGTGATTCAATAAAAGGTACTTTACATATAGGTTGTTCACAGCTACAGCCTTCAAGCCAAAGGGGAGGTGCCGTAAAGCTTCTCCACTCAAGGCCAAGCATGGATAAACTAGAAAACAGTGCAGGAAATCAGTTCAGTTCAGTGCCACACCATAATTGCCACCAGTTAGAATACAAACAGTTCTGGGGCTAAGCAGAGGGAAGGCATTTAGACATAAGAGCAATAAATCATTGTGATGTTAAAATGGACATGTGTATGTATATGATGTATATGGATATGATGTGTGTGTATATATATATTATATGTCTGTGGGTCTTGTGTATATGTATATATGTGCTAGCCATCAATCCAGACAGTGAGGCCAGAGTACATAATTGCAGTGGGTAGGGCCAATAGGTAGATGATAGGGCGGTGCTGAAAAAACTCAGTGAAGTAAGATTTTTTTAAAGCCTTTAATCCATACCCATAATTACAGAACTTTTTTCCAGAGGACAAGAGAGTTATCAAAGTTTTTGCATAGGGCAATTGCACTTTGTATCTTTGATTTAAGGAACAGTGATCACTAGCAATAGGAAGGGGTAGGGAGAGGGACAAGAATAAATCAGAAGAGACATGTAGAGGCTGAGCAAGGTACATATAGAAGGGAGAGGGAGGAAGAAGGGAGGCAGTACATGGCTAGCAGGATGAAAGAACACATGCATATATCACAGTAAAGACTATTAATCTGCACCATTGACAAGTCAACAATGACAATTTAAAATAACGATTTTTAATATTTTGGATAAAAAAAGCAGAAAAATTACTTTTCATAGAAGATAACAGAAGAGAAAAATCTATGTGTGTGTTTTTTTAAACTTGTGCAATATATAAATACAGGTGTGCATGTGAGCAGTCACATAAGAATCTCTGTTGTACTAGCTAAGATCTTCCACTGTTCATTTTTTTTTCTTTGAAAAGTTGTTTCCTGAGTCAAAGTCTGAAATTGAGCCTGCCCCACATCCAGCTTCTGTCTTCTATCACCTATTTTCCCCTTTAAACCTTCTCTCTTAGAGTGGTGGTTATCCATGTTCTGATCTGCTGCCATCTTTGTCTGGAAAACCTTTTTTTTTTTTTTTTTTGCACACTAAGGGACAATGAAATATTCAAAACTGGTCAAATTTCTCAACAAAGAAAATCTATTAAAAACATCAAGCTTAAGTCAGGATCCTAAGCAGTGATAGCTCTTGGCATCTCATGGTTGTTCTTCATATCGCTCACATTAAATATTTCCCTTAGTTTATGTATCTTTCTGGGTCCATTCTCCAAACCCTTTACCTTCGGTGAGCAATGACCACTATCTGGGATTTTTCTCAAGGACCCAGACATCTCATTGTGATAGTTACAGTGACTCCCTCTAAAGAAAGTGGACAAGCCTTCTAAGGGGTCGGCTTCTGGCCTTTAAAATTAAGAGCTTCACCCGCACCCCGGTACAGTCACCGAACACTGCTGGTACACCTCACTGGAGGGCACAGTTCAGTAATTTCTGTAGAAGTCTCATCCTGTGCCTAACTAAAAGCACCATTACAACAGTCTTTATGCTAGTAAATGTAACTACTTCAGGAGAATCAACCTAGCAAACTGACTAATTTACTGTGCATTGGGAATAGTACTTATGTTAGTTTACAGCTTGATTAGTTGGGGATTGATCTTTCAACAGTTATGATCATTTTCTTTGACTTTGATACTCCTTTTATCATAACCAACTGCTGGTATGCCAGGATTACTTGTGTTACTACAACAGAAACAGAAAAGTAAAGAACTATCAATGCTCCAGAGAGTGACTTACCAGAATAACCACAAATACCGACGGTCACCAGCAGAAAGATGGATACCAGCTTCATGGCTGGTGTCTGTGATGTTTTTATGGGCTTGAGAATACAATCAGAAAGCCCAACACATTCGCGGAGTCAATAGTTCTGCTCGCTGTCACAGAGATGGCTGCTTTCCTGGCATGTACTAATATATGCACTAAAGACTCAGATTTCAACCACTGCCTTTTGACTTGCCCCAGCAAAGAAGAACATGAAGGGCACACTCCCTAACCAAACACACTGGAGGGTTTTCTAGTTTTCATCACATTCTCATGAGAAGCAAAACCACTCACAGAAGTAGTCTCAAGTAGTTCTTTCCCAAGCCTTCCCATAGAAATGATGACAGATGGCAAAGAATTCTTCTCCAGGAAGAGAACTACAGAAGTAAAGGTTTTATGTTGGGATTTAGAGGAATGTTTTCCTCCAGTTTGTTTTCTGTTTAAAGCTTGGAGAGCTGAGTTACCTGATGGAATTCCTAGACTTGGCTTAATGACACTGCTACATTTCTCTTGGATTTACTCGCACATCAGTATTCACGTATTGACTATGACTAGGTCACCTGTTACCTTTCCTACTGTCTTCCAGGAATCCTGGGAGAATTGAGGGCACGTTTATCTGTTATCATCTATGTCTATCTCTGTGTCATCTGTAGCATCCTCTATAATAATCCACATTCTGAGAAGTAATCCATTTCTAAGGCTGCCCACCTGGGACCCAGAGCTTGGCCATGGGAGCCCAGAATGACCACATAAACATCATTTACTGGAGTTCACTGGGGGCATTGGGAGACCATTGAATGCAAAGACAAGTACAAGAAAACCTTCAATGGAGAAACAGGGGACAGTCCATGTGGTTCTGGGGCGCACTCAGAATCCTTTGGTCATATTGTATTATCTATTCACAACATCAGAAAATCCTAAGAAGATAAAGTGTGCTGTCAGTTTCTTAATACGTGAGCTCAAACTTGCTCCCATCTGAAGGTATAGTGTTTATATGAAGACTTAATAAGCTACGCAAAGAGATATGTGTGCCAAATTAAAACTAATATATAGCTCATCTGTTACTGATTTCAATGCCCTGCTAAATTCGACTGTTGTGCTGTCATTAATTTCAGCTACTTGAGAAACTAAACGAAAAGACTGCAGATTACTGCTGGGCAAAGTCAAGACTGCTTTCTCTGTTAAATACAGTTTCTATTTCTCAATCATATTAACATCCATATTGGTACATGACGTGGCTATGCTAACCCTTAAAGCTGACTCCCATAAGCTTTAGCTCATCATTTCTTTTGGCACACTAAACCTCCACTGTCTTTATCAGAGCCACCATGGGCTAGTCTGATTTAAAAATCTTTGTCTTGCCCTTCCCTCCTCTGAAGTAGTACAATGAATTTGCTTAGTAGTTAGTGATTTCTAGAGTTTCTCTTTCTCTCTCTGTCCGTATCTCTCTTCCTGAGCGCATGCATGCGCCTTTTAGGAGCCATCCCAGCAGTCACCGTACTTTCTTGGTGCCTCTAGCTCCTTCCATCCGAGGTCTTAGCTGTGGTTCTAATGTTCTGAATTCATATGTCAATTGCTTTTTTAGCCTACATTTTTGATATTTAAAACAAGTAGAATCCTTGCTCATCCTGAAGACAATACTTCACCCAAATTCCTAATTCCTACAGGTAGGGAGCAACTTACCGGGGAACGCACTTTTTTCAGTAAAACAAACAAGCCAGCGTCCAAACACTTCCTCTGGGAGAGAATTGTCAGGCAAGACCCTCAGAGTCTCCTTTTCCCATCCGCCATCACTGCAGCAACAGCTATGTGCTAGCCGACTAAGGACAGTTCAGTAGGCCCAGAGCCCAGTGAAACTGTTCAAATTAGTGTTTAACTCATTTACTCTATCTTGCTCATCATTTCCCTTGGAAACAGCAATAAGAGATCTTAGCCACATTTGACCTACTTATCTCTCTCTCCAGGCGCTCACCACTCTTTTGAGTTCCTAGGCCCTGTGCCACGACATGCTTCTGTACCAGATAGCAAACTCTATCTACACTGACAGTCATCTCCTTATCTGTTGGTCAGAATAATTGTAAAATAAAAAATATGACCGTCAGATGTAGCAGGAACCTAGAACCCTTTTCTCTTTTCTTGTTACTCAAACTCAACTCAAAAATTGATGAAAACCTTTCATGTAAGAGCTGAGACTTTGAAATTGTTAAAGGTAAACCTGTTAGACTTGGGTGAGTGCCAAGGACCATTGCATTGGGGGAGTTCAGTGGACATGTGGGCTTCCTGGGAAGTGTCTGGTAAATGGCGATGTCTGTACCATGATGCACCCTCAGAATTGCTTCCAGCCTCTGACAGCCCTTCCTTTTGTGCTGCTGCATCTCTCAAAAATCTGGCATGGTGTGAACTCTCACTTTCTGGGTATTTAACCACTGTGGTTGAACAATTCTCCTATAGGATTGTCACGAAGATGCACTGCTGTTCAGATGAATTAATTCCTGATTATGAAATTCCTGATTTGATTCAAACAATTTTAGAAGTTAAAAAGTTAAATAGTTGATAGAAAGTTTATTGCTGCAATAAATACTTTTGTTGACCTCTGGATGCCTCAGTAGGAGAAAGGCTGAAGACAGATTTGTGGCTTCAGATAGGCTTTCACTCTGGAGATGGCACCAGGAATCCTGGCACCATAAATTTAGGCAAGTTGGTCTGAGCTTCCCATGAACCCAGAATATAATGGGGCTACCAAAAAATCTCCAATTTAAGTACAATCCTTAAATGCCAAAAAATAAAAAGTGTTTTGTTTTAATGCCGTATACTTTGTCATTTTATTGCATAAAATACTGTTGTTCTAAATTTACTTTGTATCTTAGAATGTAAGACTAGATAAAGAAAAGTTTAGCTTAGTACTGAAACTTGTAATCACTAAAAGCCCCCCTCCCCATTGTAATGGTTTTGTCTATCTCTTTTGACTATGAGGTAATTTTTTCTCTGATGTAGAGAGCTTTTGCTCAGGGTATAAAGGAGTATAATCAGGCCGGGCATTCTGCCACACACCTTTAGTCCCAGCACTCTGAAGGCAGAGGTAGGCAGATATCTGTGAGTTCCAGGCCAGCCTGGTTTACCAAGGGAGTCCAGGACAGACAGCCAAGGTCATGCAGTAGTAGTAGCAGTATAACCAGGAAGATAAAGTTTATTTGGGCTATTTTGCCTCATTTCTTTGTGCGTGTGCGTGTGCGTGTGTGTGTGTATGTGTGTTTACTATTTACTCTTTCTCTCTCTCTCTCTTCTTTCTTTTTCTCCTGTATTTTCACAAATAAGTTAGCAGACTCATGGTTCCGTCATCATCTTCTCAGATGAGCAGGTATACTTTAACCTATAGAGATTTCACAAGAGGCCCTAGATCAAAGGGTCTCATTCACAACCCTGTATGGCTTTTGGCTAGAAACTCCTTCTCACAGCTCTAACAGAAGAAGAAGAAAAAGGAGGAGGAGGAGGAGGAGGAAGAGGAGGAGGAAGGAAGGAAGAAAGGAAGGAAGGAAGAAGGAAGAAAGTAGAAAGAAGAAAGAAGAAAGTAGTCAGTTTAAGTTTTCCTGTCAGTGGCAGAACAACCTATCCTGAGCAGAAAAGAGGAAACCCTTAGAGCACAAAGAGATGTCAGTCACTGACTGACCCCAAATGAGAGGAAAAAACATCAGTCACCAGTCTGACTGATCCCCAAATCTCCGACACTGACTCCACCTGCCTGGACCCATTTCCCCCCTGGACCCTATCAGAGGAGGACATTGCAGCCACTCATGATGAGACCTGATAGACTAGGATCAAAGGGAAGGGGAAGAAGACCTCCCTTATCAGTGGACTGGGAAAGGGACATGGGTGGGAAAGAGGAAGGGTGGGGTTGGGAGGGGAGGAGGGAGGGAGGTACAGAGGGGATACAAAGTGAATAAACTGTAATCAATAAAAATAAAAATAATTAAATTAAAAATGTAGTTCTTTACATGTACACCTACATGCCAGCAGAGGGCATTAGAACCCTTTATAGATGGTTGTGAGCCACTATGTAGTTGCTGGGAATAGAAATCAGGACATTTGGAAAAACAGGCAGAGTTCTTAACTGCTGAGCCATCTCACCAGCTCTGGTAAGGACTTTCTTAAAATGTCTCTAAACACTCAGAAAGTATGATAAGTGAGACTATTCTATGACATTCAAAAACTTCTGCATAGTACAGGAAACATACATAAAACAAGTTAAGAAGTAGTCCATAGAATGAGAGGAAATCATTGCTACATGTTTTGACAGAGAAGTAAAGTCCAGAATACACAATGAAGTAAAGAATACCTAGATGCCAGAAAGCCAAACAACCCAGTCAATAAATGAGTTAGTAAAATAGTTTGCAAAAGATGAAATATAAATGGTCAAGAGATGTATTTTTAAATGTTCGTCTTTAGCTATTAAGGAAAAACAAATTAATACCAGATTGGGACAAGTAGAAGGAAGAAATAGGGAGTAAAAAGAGAATATAGTCAGCTCGATGGATCATGGATCAACTAAGAGACAAGCTTCTGCATTGTCTCTTAATCAAGAGAGACACAGGATTGTACTGTTTGCATTAACTGAAGTGGGAAGATCCTCCCTCTCCTAGAACGTAGACAGTACCTCTCCAGTGGCAGACAAGATAGAAAGAGATCCAGGGTTAAAGATCTTTTCTTTTTGTCAGCTTGACTCAGGTGGAGTTCATCAGTGTTTCTACATGTTGGTGTCCTGCTGATGAGTTCATCTGTGCTGTTACGGCAGCCACCATCGCCATTCTTCTCAGACACAAGAAGCCAGTTCTGACACGGAACAGAGACCAGTGGCTCTCTGGGAACCCTCGAGGCCTTCAACACCTGATTGTGCTAGTGAGGAACCATCCGAATGGTCTCTTATATGTCCTTGGCATCTCCAGTATGAAGGCAGCCATGTTACTTTAGTCCTATTTATGGGAATAACACCATGCTACCTCAGGGTTACTGTCAGCGACTTTCTATGCTTTACAG